TCATTTTGTGTAGCGCTGACTTCTGACCTTTGTTGTAGATCTTTGCTGTAGTTATAACCTTCACACGCACTGAAGTTCAGGTGTAGCTTTACAAAGTTTGGACTTAGCCAGCTGCGTCTGGCTTGGTTCTGGCTGCTGTGCTCAGCTCCTTCCCGCTGCTGCCCTTGAGGGTGAACCTATTGTGTCCCTATGGCGAGATGTTCTGCTCCTGGACTAGTTGGTTGGATCTATCCTCTACACTCTCTGCAGGGATTGCAGCTGCAGGATTATACCCCAGGCGTGTATGCCAGGCCTGAACTGTGCCTGCAGCAGGTAAGGTGAAATAGGGGGAAGAGGAAGCTCTCCCACACACTCACCAGACCTGGGCTAGGACTGGGTCTGGAGGTTCCTGGACGCGGCAGAAATTCCTACTGGGCGGGCTGGGTGGGGGAGGTACTGCGGAGTGGTGGGGGGTGGCCCAAGGGGGTGGGAGAGGGTCCAGCCCACGCTGCGCCTGGGCTGGGACTGGTCTCGCCGGTGCAGGGTAGGAGGAAGCTCTCCGCACACTGCACACTCACCGGACCTGGGCTAGGACTGGGTCTGGAAGTCCTCTTTTGTGAGTGTCTTTATAGGGTCTGGTCAAAAATATGGTAAAACCTGTGCCAGGTGTTACCCAAAAGAAAGGCAGGCTCATAAAAACATGACAGTGTGTCTTTGTCCACTGTATTTGCTAATTCTAGCACCATGTGACTTCTTACCCTTCCCCAAAGTTAAAATGAGAGTAAGAGGTAAACTTTTGAATCAATTCAGGACATTGACTGTAAAGGCACTGTAATTAAAGACACACACACAGGGTTGGAGAGATAGCTCAGTGGTCTAAGCACCTTACTGTCAAGCACAAGGACCTGAGTTTGATCCCCGGTACTACATGCCTTGCTGGCCCCAGAACGCCAGGCATGCCATGTTGGCCCCTAAACTGGGCGTAGTGGCACGCGCCTGTAATCCCAGCGCTGGGGAGGCTGAGCTAGGAGGATCACTATGAGTCTGAACTGCATAGCAAGACCCTGTAACAAATAAATAAATACATACATACATAAGTAAAATTTTTAAAAAGACACACACACCCCAAAAAAATCACCTCTAGAACCACTTCAGAAAATGCCAAGAATGATGGATATGTTTAAAGCGAAGAGGAGTATTTTGAAGGGGTATTGATGGTAATGTATTATTTACTGTAACTTTTAAACATTCACTGTATTTTTTAATCACACATAATTTGTGAACAAGGAAACTGAAACACAGAAAGGATAAATACTTTGCCCTAGGTTATATAGCTCCACGTCTGAACTCAGCCAGTTGACTCTGGAGACTATGGTCTTTTTCTGTTATTGTGCATGTCTGACTGGTAATGTGCCCATGTAACAAGGTTTGAGGGGGGCACATCTCATGCATACAGCATAAATACCCAATCATCACACTCTTGAACTGAAGGGAGAGCCTATGATCTTGAAGAGTGTATTGGGACTGGGGATTATAAATCAACAATAATAGAGTGCTTGCCCAACAGACCCTGGGTTCAATCCCCAGTACTGGGGAGTGGAGGGGGAACACTGATATACAGTTGAACATAGGCTTTCAAATCCGAGGAGAAAGTAAAGAAAGCTTAGTCCATCCAAGAGAAAACCAAGCAACAGTGCTGGCCAAATAGCTCAGCAGATTAAAGCACCTGCTTAGACAGACACAGGGGCCAGGGTTTGATCCCTGGCCTGCCGTGCCCTGCCCCCGGGGCACACTGCAATGGCAGTTGAGACTAGGTGTGGTAGTGTGCACCTGTAATCCCAGCACTTGGGAGGTTGAAAACAGGAGGATTACTATGAGTCTGATCTGTGTAGTGAGACCCTGTAGACCCATACTAAATACAAAAAAAAAAAAAGAAAACCAAGCAACAAGAAAGTATCTAAAAAAAAAGTTAAAAAAAAAAAAAAAAAACCCATATAATTACAGCAGATGTGTTAAACTTACTCTTCTAAAAAATATGCTTTTGGACAGATCAACCCAATCAATGATTATTTAAGGTGAATGATTCTCTGGAATCATATAGGAAGGCGCTAGAAAAGATGATGGGTTTTGCATCTGGGAAAATTAGCCTTACTCTGGAGACAGGGTTTGTCTTCCCCTTCATGTAAAATCAGTTTGTCAAAATTGAGAAATTATGATTTCATTACATTGTCATACTGAGTGAATCTATTACCAGTGGAATGTGCGGTGAGATAGGTGTGTGGTACACTGGGCCAATGTTTCTAGAGATGATAAGAGAGAAAAAAGTAATACTTTCTAATTGAAATTTCACTTATAGATTCCAAAGATTTTTTTTTAAAGCATTGCAGGTGTGAATCTAAATTTTCACTTGTGGCTTCCCTTTATTTTTATTTCTACTATTAACCAAAAAAACGGAGAAGGATTTTAGCACACTGATAACCTTAAAAGTTGCTGAAGTCTATCAGAGGGGTCAAACAAGTTGTCAGAAAGCAGATGGATGCAGTTTTTTTATTAGCAAGTTTAGGATGCTGATTTGCTAGTGAATAGGCATCATGGCCTGTGCTGGTGGGAAGGAAAGCAGAGCACCTATAGGATGAGGAGGGTTGCAGCTGCAGTGCTTCCAGCTTCCACAGTGTACCTGATGACACACACCATTGCTACCCACCCTAGAGTCCAACAGTGGGCCCGAATTTGCAAGGTTTCTGATTTTGCTTCCTTGTTTATGGAAGATTATGTGGTCTACCTCTGTCTTCATATTGAATCTCTTTCATTTGCCTCAAGTTTTGATCCTATCTAGCAAAGGGAGTAAGCTTTTAAGTGCAATCCTCTGCAAGTATCTGTGGCCTCATACCATGGCAGGCAACATGATAGACATATATATAAAGTCTACTTCTGTGGTACCCACAGACTGGTGAGGGAGACTGACGTTAAACAGATAAGCCCACAGATCACTATGATTACAAATTATCATGAATGGTATAGGTGAAAAATAATATAAAATTGTCTTAGAGAGGGTAATGGAGTGAGGAGTATTGATGTAGGAAAATCAAGGAAAGACTAGAATGTAAGAAGCCCCAGCCTTTTACAGACTACATATGATGCATTCCAGGCAGTGGGAACAGTGCTTGCAAGGACTGAGCAGGGAGAAGGTACCACATTACAGAGCCCTAACAAAGTCAAGGGTATTGAAGAATGGTGAAGGTGGAGAATAGTAAAAGACAACAATGACTTAAAGCTCTTTAGAACACAACAGGATGGATTCTAAAGGAAATTTTTAAAAGGACAAAACAAATTTAGGATTGCAGCAAAAAAGAAGAGCACAGTTGTTACATTTTAAACATATTTTGGAGGTAAAATCAGTAGGATGTGATGGATTAGAAGTAATGGTAGAAAAGGGATGATAGAAGGGATAAAAATATTCAAGGATTCCAATTGTAGTAACTGGATAGATTGAAGTAGGGAAGACTGAAAGAAAAATTTAGGATGCCTTCAAGACCTGGGTAGGCATCTGATCTGTCAGTCTGAAGGTCAAAACTAAGATTTAGGCTGGGCATGATACATTATGAACTGAAAACTATATTTTTGTAATTTGAAATATGAATAAATTTATGTTTTATATTTAAAATAAATTATTTAAAATCCATGGGCTGGGGCTGGAGAGATGGCTCAGTGGTCTAAAGCACCTACTTGAAACAAGCTTGGCAAAGCACAGGGACCGCGGTTCGATCCCCAGCACCACATGCCAGCCAGACCCGCCCCCTGGTGGGCTGAGCTGGCCACACACACACACAATAAATAAATGTAATAAATAAAAATAAATAAATATTTAAAAAAATAAATAAAATAAAAAATAAATAAAGTCCATGGGCTAGATGAGGTGATGTGGGGAGGGTGTACTTAGAAGTCCTCCCTGAGACCCAGGATACTTCATCACAGAGGGATACAGTAGTAGCCAGACTTTCCACAAAGTGAGCTGGAGAAGAAATATCCAGGAGGCTGAAAGGAAAGAGATGTGAAGAATAGAGTGAATGAGCTGGACCAGGTGTTGCTTAGCTATCTTAACAAGGAACATGGAAAGCCCAGTGAAGAAACTTGTAAAGATGCTTGAAATGCACAAAACTAGACTGGAACAAGTGGGAAAATATCTCTTGCTCTTGGATAGGACAACTTAGCACCATATATAAATTTAATGCATGATCCCAATAAAACTAGTATCAAGGGGATTTTAGAAGTTTTGAGATTTTTTTTCTTAACTTTGTTTGTTGGCTCGATTCTGCTTTTTTCCTGAAACTATAAAACCTGATTCTAATGTTGACACAAAAAAATAAGCATGGCACAATAGCTAGAAAGTCCTTTAAAAAAAAATGAGAGACATTAAAATGTTCCTAAGGCCCATATAATTAAAACCATGAAGTGCCAGTGTACAAATGGATGCACAGCAAATGTACTAGAATGTTCAGGAATTAACTGAAGCATGTATGAAGATTTAGCATATGATAGAGGTGGCCTGTGAAGTCACATGGTGAAGTATGGGCTTTTTAATGGTGTTGGAATCATTAGATAGCTATCAAAAACTATTAGATCCATGCCTTATACCAAATTCACATGGATCCAAGATTTAAACATAAAAAAGAAAACGTGCTAGTACTGGAAGAAAATATCAGTATCAGTAAAATATCAATGAATCTGTAAATATAAAGAAAACCTTTCTCGCAATGACTTCAGATTCAATATAAGAAAAAATATTATTTGATTTTATTGCATGCATTACACAGCTTTGTATGAAGAGGTAAACCATGGTGGAAGGCAGGATTCTAAGGTCGCCTGGTACTCATGCCCTGCATATTCCCTGAGTGTAGGCTGAACCTACTGATTGCTTCTAACAAAATAGAATAAGGTGAAAGCAGTGCAATGTCATTGTTGATTATGGGCTACAAAATCTTGCAACTCTGTGACTTCTGTTTTGCTCAGCCACACTCAGGAAGCAAGCTGCCATGTGTTGAGCTGCCTTGTGAGACCCATGGCAAGGACTGTTGCTGCTTCTGTGTAGAAATACAATTAATTTTTGTGCATTGATCTTACATCTTATATACATAGCACTGCTTAACTTTCTTCCAGTTAAAAATTTATGTCAATGGGGGCCGGGGAGATGGCTCAGTGGAATAAGCGCTTCCCTGGCAAGCGCAAGGGCCTGAGTTCAATCCCTGGTTCCAAAAATAAAAAAAAAATTATGTCAAGATCTGCTTGATTTCCTTTGAAGAGAGGAAAATTGTTCATAAATAGCATAAGTAGTATTGGTTTTGTTCTTGCCTCACAATTTCTTAGTCTCAGTGTGCCAATTCTGTATTCCAGAACGGTGTCGAGTAGAACCCATGACAGAAACATCACTGTTTCTGTTTCTGAAGACAATGTTCTCAAGGTCACCCATTTACAAATAGTACGTGCTGTAAAATTTTGGTAAATAGCCTTAATTAGGTTAAGGAAGTCCCTTCTATCCTTGGTTTAATAAGAGTTATTTTCATAAAGTCTTATTTTATTTTATTGAAGGCTTTCTTGCATCCTTATCAGGCTAGTGAAATTCACTTATATTAACAGTTTACCAAAAAAAAATTTACAAGTGTTTTGTTTTGTCTTCTGTCAAACATCTCAAACTTCATGGAATAGCTTTTCTTTTGAGATCGTCATATAGTTTTTCTCCCTTAATCCGTGTTCTGTTCTTTTTCTCCCAGGTATAAGATGATCTCTGAATTCACCTGGCCCAACCATGACCTTCCTTCAGACAAAGAAGCTGTCAAGGAACTGATAGACCAGTGTGGTTTTCAAGATGATGTAGCTTATGGAAAGACCAAAATTTTCATCCGAACACCCCGTACATTGTTTACCTTGGAAGAACTCCGTGCCCAGATGCTTGCAAGGATTGTCCTTTTCCTACAAAAGGTAATTTCATATTTTATGTATATCTCAGCTACTCTTCTCTCGTTGCTAGCAGGGACGAATACCTGGCCCGCAAAATGAAGGAAGAAAAGGTTTATTTAGATCACGATTACTGGAGGTTTCAGTCCATACTCAGCTGGCTCCAAAGCAGAGTGGCACACGGCAGAGGGCAAAAGAGCAAAAGGGAGGAGTAGCAGCAACAGTGGCTACAGAGAGCAAGTCTGTCTCCCTTAAGTTGCATTCAGGCTCTCAGCCCCAGGCTGGGTGTAGTACTTAAACACCCATAATCCCAGCAGCACTTACACTCATAATCCCAGTGGATCATGAGTTAATCACAAACTCTAGAAGGCCGTCCCATGACTGCATGAGGCTTTGGGGGGACAAGTAGACACAAGCCATACCAGTGTATAAGGATCAAGCCTTTATTATGTTTAAAACTTTGCTTAGTGTTTTAATAAGAAAATTTCATGATGGTATATTCTGTGTATCTGTGCATATCTTAGGGTCTGTGTGTCTATATATACCTTAGAATGCTTGATGCCTTCACACATGGAAAACTTATCTGACTACCCAAATTCAAAATTATTTCATCCTGAAAATTCTGGAAACATTCCGTCTTCTGGTATTTGAAGTTAAAGAAATATATGGGCTAGTCTACTTTTTGTCCCTTTGTAGCTGTGTTTTTCCTCTCAACTTAAATGCTTAAAGACATTTTTTGTCTTATCCTTCAAAAATGTTGCTACTGTATTCATGACTGCATCCCTCAGCCATCAATGCCCCTACAGCCACCACCACTTCAACCACTTGATGTCAGGTGTGGCTTGCTAGCTCCGTGTTTCACTAACTTGTACCCATGCTTGTTTATCTGTGCAAGCCCCCTCTTTCATTCTTGAAGTCATTTTTTATCTCCCACCCTTGTTCTCATTGCTTCTGTGTAAAACATTTTAATACAAAGTTATAAATACGTGTTAGAAGAAAATCACATACCTCTTTGAGGATGTCCTTCAGATATTTACCAGGAAAAAGTTGCTGATCAATAATGTATATATTATGCCATGTATCTAACTGATATAGGGGCTGGGGAGATGGCTCAGTGCAATAAGCGCTTCCCTGGCAAGCGCAAGGGCCTGAGTTCAATCCCCGGTTCCGCCAAAAAAAAAAAAAAAAAAAAAAAGAACATTTCTAATTGATATAAAGAGTGCCACCTTCTGCTTCAGAATCACTACCTGTTTACACAATCTCCAACTATATGACCACATCCCTACCAGGATGACACCTACTACCTGCTACCTAAAGTTTATCAGACTAATCAGGATAGTGATAACTCATTATTTTTTTACTTTGCATTTCCCTAGTTACTATTGAAGTTAAGCATTTCATTAAATGTTTGCTTGTTCTTTAGATTTTCCTGTGATGTGCCTTATTCATATCTTTTGTCTATTTTTCTAATGGAGATGGTGTTTTCTTATTGATTACTAGCAATTCCTTGAATATTCAACCTTTCATCCTCTTTTGATATTGTAAATATATTTTGTTGTTTCATCAGCATTCAGGTGAAGTTTTTTCTGTAATATGTTTTGTTGAACAAATTCCTTAATTTTGACATAATGAAACTCTTCAATTTTTGCATTATAATTTGTGCCACAGAATTTGTGCTTTAAATTTCTTATTTTGTTAAATAAGAATTTCGTTATTTCTATGTCACAAAGATAATATCTTATATTTTATTCTATGAGTGTCCTTTTTACACTTAGGTCTTCAGTCCATTTAGAATCTGTCTGTATATGTGGTTTTACATAGGAATCCAGTTATTTCTTTTTTTACATATAGTTACCCAGTCTTCTTTGTATCATCTTCTAGACAGTTTGTCCATTTACCAATAATTGTTGATATCATTTTATTTTGCTAAATTTTTGTATATTTTTTCTGTCTTTGAGTATTTAATTCTGTACTATTTTTTTCTATTTATCTCTGTCCTATGCTACAGTTTTTATTGTATGTCTTAGTATGTACTAGGATAAATCCTTCTTCTCTGCTTCTCTTTATTAAGATGGATTAAGCTGTAAATAGACCTTTATTCTGCAATGTAAAATTTAATATGTGTAACAAGTTCATTAAACACAACAGTAACTTTATTAGGATTGTCTTGAATTAATAGATTCATGTGAAAGGATTAATATTTTTACAATATTAAATTATCACATCAAAAATATGAAATAGGGGCTGGGGAGATGGCTCAGTGCAATAAGCGCTTCCCTGGCAAGCGCAAGGGCCTGAGTTCTATCCCCGGTTCTGCAAAAAAAAAAAAAAAAGAATATGAAATAGAGTCAGCCAAATAGCTCAGCAAATTAAAGTGCCTGCAAGCAGGCACAGGGGCCAAGGGTTCTGATCCCCAGGCCTGCCTTGCTGGCCCCAACCCCGGGGGCACGCTGAGATAGCAATTGAGACTGGGCGTGGTGGGGCACACCTATAATCCCAGCTCTTGGGAGGCTGTAAACAGGCAGATCACTACAAGTCCAATGTAGTAGTGAGACCCTGAACACCCTGTAGACCCGTCACTAAAATACAAGAAAATAAAATAAAAAGTATGAAATAGATTATCTTCATTGGCCTTAAGACTGAAAGAGGTCTTATGAAATCTAGATGTTTTACTACTTCTGTTTCTAATATGAATCTATTATATTATGTGTGGCAGTGTTGGTACAGGGAAAGAATATTGGCTTATGTGGGTTTATTATATCCAGAGTAAAACCTTTCTTCATTCATATTTGTTATTAGTTTTTCTGGGTAAATTATTGCATGAAAAGGAAAAGTTACGTCTTCCCTGACAAGATGTTTCTCAGTCTTGGTCTCTCTTATTTTCCCTAGGACTCACAATAACTTTGGGGATGAAATACTAAATTTTGTTTCATTCCCAGTTTTCCTTCAAGTAATTGCTTTTTAAAAAACTGATTTCATTCATTTTTTTTCTTTCTCCAAGAAAGCTTGTAAATTTGTGAGTTGGATCTTTGTTTTCTGGCTGCCACAGTAAATTATTTTTGTGGAATAGCTTGTTATTTTTATGCTGAAGCTCTTTCTCTTTAATTCTTAACCTTTAAATGTTTTGGGTTTTTTGTTTTCCTCAGATCTGATACTTTTTTCTCTTTCTGCTTATACGTGAAATTCATTCAGTGAACCAGGGTGTTCTCACTCCCAAGTTTGCTTAAGCCAGCCCTGGTTGATGCTTATTGCTATTGTAGCTACCAGTAGTACCCCAAGCACTCTTGTGTCCCAGTGGGGATAATAAACTATACAGCCACCCTACCCTGAACTCAGTCTCTGTCTACTTGGTGACTGGTAGAATCATCTTCTTAAACATATAGTAGCAGTTTCCTCACTTCATTTTCAATTTTCAGTATGCTGCAGACTTGAGTCTGTTTTCTCTCTGCTAGCCAAAGATGGGTTCACTACTCCTCTTCCAGCCCACAGCCCAACTTCTATATACAAAGATTTCATCCAAGGTGTATGTAGCTCCTATGATACTTTGCTTCTAGAAATGCAAGATGCTATTACCATTCTCTACCTCTGCTTTCCTTTTGGTGAGAAATTATAATTTCTATCTAAAAAAGAGAAATTCTTTAAAATGGAGATGACCACTTCATAAGCCACCAACCATGCAGTGGAAGGCAAGTGTTTCTCTCTTTTCTGTGAGACAGATCTCACATTTCTGAACCATAGAAAGTAGGGTAGGGGATGAGGATGTCTGTCCTTAGGAACTTTTCCCAGGCAACATATAATCCATTTGTTATATTTTTCCAACGAAATCCACATGACATAAAATTAATGGAAATTTCTCCCAGCTTGCAGGACTGGATCATCAGTCATCACCTGACTTCCCATGTGATGTGTTTTCCATTTTTCTATATTCTTACAGGAACTTAAAGGGAAATTAGTAGAGATG